TAATTATAATATTATCAATAATGATAAAAAATTATAATATTATTAGTATTAATAATAGAAATTACATTATACGAGTCACTAGTTACTACTCCTTAGTTATTACTGCACTAGTTAATATATGTTTTTAATTAAAATTATTAGTAATACGTATCCATGATTTATTAATAATTAAATTATCTAAAAATACTAATGATAGATTCTTATTCTTGTTACTACGTAGCTATTAAATATCTTTATTTTGTGCATAGTTTTAACAATGAGAGATTTGTATTCTTGCAATTTTTTGTAACTCTTTTATTAATTATTCAAAAATACTAAACTTTAATATTAAAAAAATAAAAAAAATAACAATGGAACCGGAAACCAAACCGGCTTGGAACCGGAACCGCCAGTTTTTGAACCGATGATGTGCGGTTCTGGTCCCCTAAAATTTGGAACCGTGAACCGGTGATTCCGGTTTGATTCGGAACCGGGGACAAGTTTAGTAGAGTATGTTATTGGTATGATGAAAATTTCTTGCCACATTTGATATTACCAGACATTAAATATAAGAGAAAATTGTCAAATAGGTCCTCGAACTTTCATAAAAAAGTCAATTAAGTCCTTCTATAGGAGACTCTGTCCGGTCGTCACGGTTTGGGGCGGTTCCCGGTGAAATTTTTTGATGAATTTTTTTAGCATCTTATTCATCAAGTCTAGTGTACTCATACCAAATTTCAGCTAAAAATTTAATCAGTAGCGCATTCAAATTAATTCGAGAACGCAAAATGTGCAGTTATCTTCAAGAATTAATTTGAATGTGTTCCCGATTGAATTTATAGCTGAAATTTGGTATGAGTAAACTAGACTTGGTGAATAAGTTGTTCAAAAAATTTCATCAAAAAATTCCACCGGGAACTGCCCCAAATCGCGACGGCCGGACAGAACCTCCTATAGAAGGACTTAATTGACATTTTTATGAAAGTTCGAGTACCTATTTGACACTTCCCTAAATATAATAATTCAAGCTGAAACACAATAAAAATAACACTCCTGTTTTAAAATTTTCAAATATATTGTACTCCCTCCTCCATATACTCCAATATTCGCTCCTCTTTCCATTTTGTATTTTTCTTTAATAATGGTCTCCCTTTTCATTTTAGAAAGTTTGTTCAGTTTAATAATTTTCATTTTTCTAATGCTTGCATTTTTCTAATTTTCATTTTTGACTCATGCTTGCATTTTTTTTTCTTTTTTCATTTTTTTTATTTTTTTATTATAAGTTTTTGAGTTTTTATTTTAATAATTTTCATATTTCTAATGTTTTAACTTTATTAATTTTATTTAATACTCCCTCTGTTCTTTAATAGATGTCTCACTTTCTATTTTGGGGTGTTCTTGAATATTTGTCCCTCTTTTCATTTTTGAAAAGTTTTTTCAATAAATATACTTGTATACCCTGATTCTCTTTCCTACTTTTTAATTCTCTTTCCTACTTTTTCATTCAAACACAACCCGCTACAACTTTTACATTACTCCTATTACTTTCTCCTTAAAACTTGTGCCAAACTCTATACTCCCATCTATTAGAGAACGGAGGGAGTATTAAATTTCGTTTTTTACACTTTAATTATAAATAAGGTTATGGCTAACACTAAACAAAGCAAGGATAGAATTGGAATGCTAGTCCTATTTAAAGAATTTTAAAATTATATTCATATTCTTGCAATTAAAGTTTCATTAAAACTATTTGAGGAATGTCCCCTACATTTTTCTCTTTTCTAGAAAAAATCAAAGAAAAAATATATACAAGTAGTCCAGATAAAATTATAAAAAGTGACTACAATGAATAGGAATACATAAACGGAGAGACAAATTTTAGGAAGGAAAAACAAAAAAACGTACGCGGGACCGTTTCTAGAAAATTTGTAGAAGGTGAGATTTATGGTTGAATAATTTGTAAAGAAAATGAAAAACCCGGAAATAGCGGATCATTAACCGGTCAGAAACAAACGAATGAAAATGGAGTGCAAAGGTTATATTAATCCCGAATTACGATAATGTGAAATTATTGTAAAAAGACTGCTAAAAAGTTTTTTTTTATCGTCAAATAGATGGCTTAAATTAATATCACAACATTCAGCAGGGGCACAAGATAACAAAAGAACCACATGTAACCATACGCCCGGGGCCGAGACTGAGAGATAACAACCTGTAAAAAAGCAGTATAACTCGATAGACCTGAATTGGGCAACTTAAATCCAATGACGGTTACTGCAGATATCTCTTCCCCAAACCTAATGCAAGAGTCTTACAGCATAAAATAAAATAACAATAAAACACAAACGTCTTAACTTGAAAATTAAAATGCAGTAATAGAATAATATGGGAGGAGAAAGAATTTTCTCCTCCTCGGGTGGATGAAGAAGCTGGAGACAGAGATTGAACAGTACAATTACCGGGCGTTTCCCGACGAGTTCAATTGGGAGCTCGGCGACGAGGTGCCGGAGGGGCATTTGCCGTTGACGAACGCACTGAGAGGGGTCCAGCTTCTGAGCTACATTCTGAAGCACCCGGCTTTTGAGGATCAAGAAGAAGAAGAGGGCAATAAATCGGATTTGGGTTTGGGTTTGAAGAGGATATCAACATTTAAATCGGATTACAGCTTTTGATGAAGAAGATGTAAATGAGTTTATATAATCTTTATAATCTGTTCTTTGTTTAAAATCTTCTTCTTTCGTAGGATTATTCAACCATCACCCATGGTGGAATATCGGAAAACATTGTTATACTACTCATAATATTTTCCCACACCGAAGTGTATAATTCATTGGAAAATTCTACCGTACCTGCAGTGTTTAAATACACTAATAATATGACACATGGATGTTTAAATACACTAATAAGAATATGGCACATAGACTCCTGCTTACGTCTCTTATTTTGACGGTGTAGGGCCGTTTCTTCAGTTTCACAACCAAACGCACACGACGAACGAGAAAAACCAAAATATTCCTACTGCAATAGCAATCTTCTTTGTATATTAATTCGACCGATTGTTCGGGCTCCACAGACTCTAGGAAGAAAATAACTACAAGTGTAAGAAAGCTTGGCAGTTGGAAAAGCAAAGTTCATCTCTGAATAATCTGGGTAGTGCTTCAGGCCGGCTTCACATGGTAAAACTTCACCAATTTTACTCCGGCAATATCCCTCTATCACCTGCGGTCGTCTCTGTGACTGTGAAAATAACGATCTACGCCGTCAAAATAGAAATCGTTAGGAAATACGAAGTATATTAACTTTTACTCCGTATATTCAAGGATTATTTTATTAGATAACTGCGTATACGTTTTAAACATCCACGTGTTGTAATATTACTTGTCCAAGCAGGCAAATGTTCCGTACCTATGAAATTAACAGGTGCACCGTAGAAAGACCCTAATTCATTAGAAGCATGTTATAGTTTTCCTTCAAACTCTTTTGTCCAACACCTCCAAGGAAAGGATGGCTTTGAATTGCAAGATTTGCTTCTCTCTCCCAATTGTTCATTATTTAATTATTACAAGTAATTGGAAAATGACCGATTGGGAGATAGAAGCAAATCCTTCCATTCCTAAAGCAAAACTTTTGCTAAAATTGATTACTCCGTATTACTCCCTCCGTCCCTAATAACTTTGTCAAGTTTGTGCAGAAGAGAGAGAACTAACTAGAACCACAAATTCTTTACTTAAATGAGAAAGTGGCAAAGCTATAAGGGACGGAGGGAGTACTTATTTAAAGAATGATCATTTTGGACTATTATAAAAATCTTGCAATTTGAAATGGGAAACTTCGTTTTTTAACAAGAATAGTCCCATGATAAAAAAACAAGAATAGTCCCACATTTTACCAGTATTTTCATAATAATCTCATATTGACGTAATCATAGAATACAATCTCACATTTTCATCTCATCTTTTTTTATCACATTGAGCTAATATATGCCTATTCCAGATTTTTTGAGCCTATATTTGAAAACTTTACATAAATAATTTCACTTTTCACAAATCCGTTCAAAATAGTCTCATGTTTCATTTTTTCTTTTTTCTTTCTAAAATTTTTCTTTCATTATTTTCATCCTTGTACACTTTGTATTCCTTTTTCTATCCTTTTGTTCTTATTCCTTTTCCATTTTTTTATTATTCTATTTCTTACTCTATTAGGATTAAAAAAATCTAGATAAATCTTTTTGTCATTTCCTTTCTATTAGGATAGTATTAAAATGCAGAAAAGGTAAATTATAAGCAAACTCCCAACCACGTCGATCAACCCTTGGCGGTGATTCTGGAGGAGGCCTGCCTGTCGCAATGATTGTTGATGCACCAATCAGGGGTAGATCGATCAGTTTTCCACGTTGTCCGTACTCTACACTGCTCGGCTCTCCTCATCTGCGACAAATTGATCGACAATCCCTGCTTACCAACACCAGCCATCTCCATCTTCAATTGTCCTCCTTCGATCTCAATGTCCAAGCCCTACAGAGAGGGAAAACGCCGGATCCAAACGCCACAAAAGGACGTCGCCGGAAAATCAACCTAGGAAAACCCTAGAAGACGGCCGCCTTTTCTCACCCCTCTTTCTCGAAGAGTTCGGAGCGAAGTAAACTTGCATGTAATTGTTAAAAAATAAGACTGCTAAAAGGTTGAATGATTAGTTTCCATTTTCCCTTTATTTTATTTACTCCCTACGTCCCGCTATAAACTTCACACTTTGACTTCACACAGATCAAGAAAATAAATTTGACTTTACTGTGAAATGCACTGTTTTGCACTATTTGGATATTGTTTGGCACTTTTTTAATGTATATAATTTGTCAAATAAGAAAAATTTTGAAGTATGAAGTTAGTTTTGAGATTGAGAAAAAGGAATATATCTTTAGTTATTATCTTGAAGTAAACAATGGTATGCTCTAAAAAGATTTTGTTTTAGATATAGGAGGTAGATGGCAGTGAGTCAGTGACTTCCTCACCCATTATTGTCCAATCACATCCTTCCTTTGTATTTTGCCCACTCATTCCTTATCTCACTAGTCTACTCACCATACTCTGTTCCAAATCTCCTCCTCTAATCCTTCTTGCCTCTCAACTTTTGATTATAACCTCACCCCTCTGATCTCAGAGCTTCTCAAAAACAAACAAATCCAACAATGGCTACTAATCCATTAAAGTCCATTAACCACCACCATCACTGCCACCCCATCACATTAAGGCGCCATCCCCTGTCTGACTCCTCCTCCTTCCTCAAACCCACCACCAGAACCGCCGGAGCCGTCTCCGCCGCCGCCCTTCCGCGCGGCATTTTCAACTTCAACCTTTCCCCCGCCACTCCGACGACTACAGTCACGCCGCCCTCCTCCCCGCCTCAAACCTCCGTGTCCTACGACGTCCTGGAGCGCCACCTCGCCGCCCAGAACTTCCGGCAAGCGGACGAGGAGACCCGCCGGCTGCTCATCGCCCTCGCCGGAGACGACGCACAGGAGCGCGGGTACGTGTTCTTCTCGGAGGTCCAGTTCATCCCGGACTCCGACCTCCGGCAAATCGACTCCCTCTGGCGGAAGCACAGCAATGGCAGATTCGGGTACAGTGTACAGAGGAGAATCTGGAAGAAGGTGAACGGAGACTTCACGGATCTGTTCAAGAAGATCGGGTGGATGAAGAAGCTGGAGACGGAGATTGAACAGTACAATTACCGGGCGTTTCCGGACGAGTTCAATTGGGAGCTCGGCGACGAGGTGCCGGAGGGGCATTTGCCGTTGACGAACGCGCTGAGAGGGGTCCAGCTTCTGAGCTACATTCTGAAGCACCCGGCTTTTGAGGATGAAGAAGAAGAAGAGGGCAATAAATCGGGTTTGGGTTTGGGTTTGAAGAGGATATCAACATTTAAATCGGATTACAGCTTTTGATGATGATGATGTAAATGAGTTTATATGATCTTTATAATCTGTTCTGTGTTTAAAATCTTCTTCTTTGGTAGGATTATTCAACAGACCATCACCCATGGTGGAATATCAGAAAACATTGTCATACTACTCATTATATTTTCCCACACCGAAGTGTATAATTCATTAGAAGCATGTTATAGTTTTCCTTCAAACTCTTTCATCCATAACCTCCAAAGAAAAGATGGCTTTGTATTGGAATACTTGTTTTCACCATCCACTTGTTCATTATCTAGTTACAAGTAAGTGGAAAATGATCCATTGGATGATGGAAACAAGTATTCCCATTTTTTGCATTTTCATTAATTAAAACTTACACTTTTATTATCACTTAAAATTGAATATTACTCCCTTGTTATTAAATAAACTTCCAACTTTCTTTTTTGGGCAGTACATGCCGATAGTACTGCACCCGGCCCATTATCCCAACACGAGTCCCGCACTCCCTTGGTCAAATAGTAGACTCGGCTAAAAAGGGAATACTTGAGTTGCTTTGAAATCGGCCTACTTGCTGAGGTATCTCGCTCGTTACATAGATCTTTGTTGATAACGACGATCTGGGGTGCGTCCGGAAATATCAATCGTGTAATCGTTTGTTATGTCCATTGTTTGTGTAACGATGAGATCCTCCTTGTCTGGGTAGCAGCCCAGATCTTGGTTATCTGATTAGCATCCAGAGGTCTTCTGTGTCCCAGCCGGGAAGACCTCTTCCTTTGTTTATGATGAGGGGGTGCTTCGTTAAAACCTTACTAGGAAAAAAACTTAGTGGGAAAAAATCCTAGTGAAGGAAAAAGAGTACAGCGGTGCCTCAAAATAAAGCAAAGGAAGGCTAGATCCCGGGTCTTGATCAACCATTCGTTTTGTTCCCTACTGCTTGCGAAAGGAACAGGGGTCTCGCCATCCCCCCCGACAGTACGCAACGTTCTTTATCAGATTTGTCAATCCGGGCCGGCGATCTTCAAAAATGGGCTTTGATTTTCGTTCACTTATATTAATTCTTGCAATCCTCCAGGGGTCAAAATTAGCAGTTTCCCAATTCAATCTGACCAATTTAACCTGTTTCTTAGCTTCAATACCTCGGGCCAAAATTAAATTTTCTAATCTCACTTATTCCCTTAATTTCGAATACCCAGATGTGCCGACATATCCCTGCAACCCTCGTCGTTTTCCATTCGTGTGCAGCTCTGCATCTCGCTCGACATTTTCCACTCATGCGCAACTCTGCAACGTGTTTCCACTTGGCGTCACAATTGCCTTCCCGCTCAACCAATTTTAATCATCTCCGCAACTCCAGCAACTCACCATCGTCCCAAAGGCGAGGTCGGGTTCCCGGTAGGCCATCATTGCAGCCGAGCAGCCTGCGTCGCCAGGAGTCTTCCCGTAGTCCCAGTCCGCATTCGCACATGTTGGATTTAATCGGTCATGGGTCTCACATATGCATGCATGGGTGGAGTTTTATTTAAGTTTGGTTTATATTTTAATTAATTTATTAATTGAATTAGTGGCATTAGTTTGAAGTTAAGAATTTATTTTAGTGGGGTGGTTACTTAGCATGTTTGCATGATCCTACTTCCCACAATCCAACTTCCCGTGTAGGAATAATTGTAAGACTATATATGCCTCTACTCCTCATTAATTAATATAGATTGCATTTGTTAACTCTTCCTTCTCACATTAGTTATTCCAAGAGAATTTGTTTGAAGCTTCTATTTTGACATCAACACTTGGTATAATTCATCAAGTATAGATTTTCTTTCCAACATTTGGTATCAAAACTCAAAGATCCGTATGAATAATTTTTTGAGCCGTTCTTGATCATTGGTTATAGCATCCTAACGGCAGCCCTGATTTTCATTTGATCGGGCATGTTCTAGTGTTGTTGAGAGTATAACCAGGTGCAGAATAAGCAGACAGAAAGATTTCATAGCAGGTTACTGTGATTCGGTTCGCTTTGCCGGTGACGGAAAACGGTAATGGTGGTTGTGACCACGTGTTCTTGATCGGTATAAAACTCTCTCGGAACAAGCTTGATCAACAAAATTTGGGGCTGTCCAAACGAAGAATATAATGGCGTTGGTACCAAGAGAGGGAGGTTCGATGGCGTTTCAAGTTTCGGCCTTGACCCGGACGAATTTTCGGTGTGGGCTAGGGGTGTTAAAGAGCCGAGGCGAGCCCGAACACCTAAAGCTCGAGTTCGGCTCGATAAGGAATTAATGGTGTTCGGGTTCGAGCTCGAAGCTCGGCGAGCTTTACATATGAGGCTCGTGTTCGGCTCGATAGGCGTTCGATGTTCGAACCGAGCGCTCGTTAAGCTCGATAAATATGGTAGATTTTAAAATTTTAGGTGATGCTCGTTAATAGGCTCGTGCTCGAATGATTCGACAAGTATTCGGTTCGTTAATAAACATATTTAAATGCTTAAAATCATACTAATTATATTTAAATTTTTATTATATATAAATTATATTTATAATTTCAGGGTTTTCGATAGGCTCGAGTTCGAACCGAGCCTAATACTACTATGTTCGAGCTCGGCTCGATTAATATTTTGAACTTAAAACTCAGCTCGGGTTCGAGTTCGAAAGCTCGTTAAGCTCGGCTCGTTAGGTTCGAAACCGAGCTCGAACTCGAATAGTTCGATAAAAGCTCGGTTCGTTAACAGCCCTAGTGTGGGTTGTCAGGGTGAGGACGATCATGGATGCATATGACGTATGGCTTGTTATTGGCAAGTGAAGAAAAGTTTTACGGTTGTAAGCATTGTGGCAACGGAGGTTCAAGTCGGGGTGACTTTGGACGTGGCCGGGGAAGAGGTCGTGGGTCCGACAGGAGTCAAGACTGTAATGAACGTGTCCGGAACAAAAGCCATGTTACATGTTGCAAGTGTCGAGAACTTGGTCACTATATCAAGTTATCAACTAGTGTCCTAAGTTGGGAAAGCAAGAAGGGTACTCGATGAAAGAGAAATCGACACTACTGTAAACGAGTAGTATGGACTGACCGATTAAAGAGATGATGGTTGAAATTAATCGGTCGTGGGTCTCACGGGAAAAGGTGCAAATAGGCCCATGTACTAACAAAAAAAGGTCAAATAAACCCTTATTTAGGAGGCTCTGTCCGGTCCTCGTCATTTGGGGTGGTTCCCGGTGGAATTTTTTGATGAAAGTTTTTGAGCATCTTATTCATCAAGTCTAGTTTACTCATACCAAATTTCAGCTAAAACTTCAATCGGGAAGGCATTCAAATGAATTCTTGAAAATAACTGCGCAGTTAGAAGCGCAGTTATCTTCAAGAATTCATTTAAATGCCTCCCCGATTGAAATTTTAGCTGAAATTTGGTATGAGTAAACTAGACTTGATGAATAAGATGCTCAAAAACTTTCATCAAAAAATTCCACCGGGAACCACCCCAAATAGCGAGGACCGGACAGAGCCTCCTAAATAAGGGCTTATTTGACCTTTTTTGGTTAGTACATGGGCCTATTTGCACCTTTTCCCTGGGTCTCACATATCATTTGAAGTCCATTAACCATCACCATCACTGCCCCTCTCACATTAAGGCGCCATCCCCTATCTGACTCCTCCTCCTTCCTCAAACCCACCACCAAAACCGCCAGAGCCGTCTCCGTTGGCGCCCTTCCGTGCGGCATTTTCAACTTCAACCTCTCACCCGCCAGTCCAATGATTACAGTCACGCCACCCTCCTCCACGCCCCTAACCTCCGTGTCCTACGACCTCAGCTCCTGGAGCGCTACCTCTCCGCCCAGAACTTCCGGCAAGCGGACGAGGAGACCCGCCGGCGACGCCGTACAGGAGCGCGGCTACGTGTTCTTCTCGGATGTCCAGTTCATCTCGGACTCCGACCTCTGGAAAATCGACTCCCTCTGGCGGAAACACAGCAATGACAGATTTGGGTATAGCGTGCTGAGGAGAATTTGGAAGAAGGTGAACTGAGACTTCACAGATCTGTTCAAGAAGATCGGGTGGATGAAGAAGCTGGAGACGGAGATTGAACAGTACAATTACCGGGCGTTTCCGGACGAGTTCAATTTGGAGCTCGGCGACAAGGTGCCGGAGGGGCATTTGTCGTTGACTAACACGCTGAGAGGGGTCCAGCTTCTGAGCTACATTCTGAAGCACCCGGCTTTAGAGGAGGAAGAAGAAGAAGGCAATAATTTGGGGAAACGGAAGAGTAGTGTAAATTCTGTGAAGGAGGGATGGGTTTGGGCCTGTGGGGTTGAAGAAGATATCCTATCCTATACCTAAAAGTACAGCACCGGAAAGAGAGAATTCTCCCGCCTAAGCATTTCTCGTTTATCCTATACCTAAAAGCACTACAATGGAGAGAGAAAATTCTCTCGCCTAAGCATTGTCCACCTATAATCCTAAAATGTAATTTCAATTTCCGCAACAAAAATTATCTATCATCATATACCTAAAAGCACCACATTGGAGAGAGAAAATTCTCCCGCCTAAGCATTCCCCCCTATAATCCTGAAATGTAATTTCATTTTCCGTAAAAAAAAATCATTATCCTATACCTAAAAGCATTACACTGGAGAGAGAAAATTCTCCCGCCTAAGCATTCTCCACCTATAATCGTAAAATGTAATTTCACTTTCCGCAAAAAAAAAAAAAATCAGCATCATCCTATACCTAAAAGCACTACACTGGAGAGAGAAAATTCTCCCTCCTAAGCATTCTCCACCTATAATCGTAAAATGTAATTTCACTTTCTGCAAAAAAAAATCAACATCAATATACCTAAAAGCACTACACTAGAGAGAGAAAGTTTTCCCACACCTAAGCCTAAAATCCTAAATTGTAATTTCACTTTCCGCAAAAAAAAACATTCTATACCTAAAAGCATTACATTGGATACCTAAAAGCACTACATTGGAGAGAGAAAATTTTCCCGTCTAAGCTTTCTCCACCTATAATCCTAAAATGTAATTTCACTTTCCGCAAAAAAAATCATTATCCTATACCTAAAAGCACTACACTGGAGAGAGAAAATTCTCCCGCCTAAATATTCTCCGCCTAGAATCGTAAAATGTAATTTCACTTTCCGCAAAAATATCATCATCATCATCATCATCATCATATACCTAAAAGCACTACACTAGAGAGAGAAAGTTTTCCTACACTGGATAATGATTTTTTTTGCGGAAAGTGAAATTACATTTTAGGATTATAGGTGGAGAAAGCTTAGACGGGAAAATTTTCTCTCTCCAATGTAGTGCTTTTAGGTATCCAATGTAATGCTTTTAGGTATAGGATGTTTTTTTTTGCGGAAAGTGAAATTACAATTTAGGATTTTAGGCTTAGGTGTGGGAAAACTTTCTCTCTCTAGTGTAGTGCTTTTAGGTATATTGATGTTGATTTTTTTTTGCAGAAAGTGAAATTACATTTTACGATTATAGGTGGAGAATGCTTAGGAGGGAGAATTTTCTCTCTCCAGTGTAGTGCTTTTAGGTATAGGATGATGCTGATTTTTTTTTTTTTGCGGAAAGTGAAATTACATTTTACGATTATAGGTGGAGAATGCTTAGGCGGGAGAATTTTCTCTCTCCAGTGTAATGCTTTTAGGTATAGGATAATGATTTTTTTTTACGGAAAATGAAATTACATTTCAGGATTATAGGGGGGAATGCTTAGGCGGGAGAATTTTCTCTCTCCAATGTGGTGCTTTTAGGTATATGATGATAGATAATTTTTGTTGCGGAAATTGAAATTACATTTTAGGATTATAGGTGGACAATGCTTAGGCGAACATTAACAAAGCACCATTCTCTTAAAAGTGGATTCTAAGTTCACAACTCAAGTGGGGGAAATGCAAATTCCAATTTATATTGGTTTTTGTACAAAACAAAAAGTATTTATTAAAATAAAGTAGATCTTTACTTTAGTTTCTTCCCTAGACAGTTTATATATAGACTACCACCAGGCCTCATCCCCATTAGTGTCTTAGATTATGCCAAATTTTCCATGTGGGTGTTTCTTTAGTAAAAACGTAAGGCTAGGTCCGTGTGAAGTGTGCCAAACTTTACATCTAAAGAAAGTATGATGGTTGGTTGAAGCACCAATCATGTAGGGCTAATGATTTTAAAAAGACCAAAAAGAGTTAGAAAAATATGTTAATTTTTCTTTCAAAATGTACCTGTAAGGGAAATGCAAATTCCAATTTATACTGGTTGTTGTACAAACCAAAAAGTGTTTATTAAAAAAAATCTAAGTGAACACTTTACTATCTGGAACAAGAGGATAAAGAAATATATAACGAATACTGACACAAAACTCAACATACTTGGTCATTTTAGTAAAATAAAAAATGAGCAAGTGTTCTCAATAAGGAAAACTGTGTAGTTTGAGTTTTCTATGAACTTTCTTCCCCTGAGCCCCCCAATGAGTTAGAACCACAAAACTTAAAAAGTACCAGCCAATTAGCTATTATTTTTTACCAATTTGGAATTAAGTGGGTTAACGACGCGTTTGAAAAAATGACCCGAGGGCATTCTCTTCACATTTTTAATCGTTCAGCAGCTCTTTATAAACTCTCTGTGTATATCTAAGGAACAAAGAAGGAACCTAAATGAAAAGAATCTGGTTAAAACCAAGGGTCACAACTGCAAACCGCTCCTTATGTATCAATTCCTTCAAGTTCAATTATGAGACCACCTCTCCAACTCAATATCTCTGTCAATTTTGTTAATTATGAGTGTTTAATTCTCAATTTATTTATTAATTATTAAATGAACCAGACTCACGTATGCTATTTAAGTTTAAAAAATATTCGCTTCCCATACGATTAAGCAAAGAAAATAAACAGTTACCTTACCGGCCCGGATGAAACACGCTCAACTCAAATTGCCAACAACCTATCCAGCCTAAAAAAGGTTTTAAAAGGTACATACAAGATTAAATTAGTCTCTCAAAGGTGGAAAACGGAAAACAATACTAACAGAGGGTTTAATGAAAGCACATGTATCAGTTATGCTAAATCATTGTTACTTATTCATGTGACATTTGCTAATTCAGAAATGGAATCTAAAAGCAACACACATAAGCAATAGAGTTGTCGAAGTATGCTATTTCAATTTTGATTTAGTTAAAGCATTATTCCTGTGGTGCTCACAAAAGCACGTTCATATAAACAATTAGGTTCTTTATCTCCAATCTCCAACAAATGGGTTCAAATGCTTCTATTGTTCCCGCTAAACACACTGCAATGTCTTCATTTTGGAAAATATATATGGCTTTTTGCTTTGTGAAAAGTTGGCTAATGACTTTTTAGAATGGAAAAACTTAATGCATTTTTCAATACAAACAATTTTTTTAGCTGAACCGTGTTCTAAATTAATAGCTGGACATTTTCCAACTCAGAATGTTGTTACATGCATTCTTTAAAAATATGACATGCCCTAGCTGGACAGAAGTATTGTAATTCACTGAACTAAACACATTCCCTATTTTGTATTTCCAGCATTTGTTTGACGGTTTTCATTTGGTATACCATTTTTACAGATGGCTAGTATCCATCTTCCAAACTACTATTAAGAAGATTACCCAAGGGGCAGATAAATGTCAAGGTCTTAGCCCTGTAGGTTGATTAAGTAGAGTAGTATCCATCTTCCCGTTTACAACATTGGAAGAAATAGATATGCTCAAAGCAAATAAAATATTTCATGTGGATGTTTCAGCAAAAAAGGTAGCTGCCACACAAATAAAAGGTGGTAAAATTTAATAAACTATTAGTTGAGTAAGTTAAGGATATGTCACAAAGAAAATTAATAGCTAACATGCTTCAAAAAGCTTTTTAGATACAACAAACTCAGGGTTTCAATGGCTCATAAAAGGGATAAGCACACAAAGCATATCTCTTTGGCCACCATGAGAATTCCAGCTATCTATAACATGTTAGTAGTTCCTCTAAGTTAGTATGTGTTGGAAAGGTTATTAATGTAACTTAGCTTTAGAGCCTATTGGACTCATCTTTTGAAAGAAAAAGATTATGGATCCCAATGAAATATGAATGAACTAAGAACAATCCAAATAGGGATTTGAGAACTATGTTAGAGAACACTCAGCCAATTGAACCATAAGAACATTAACAAAGCACCATTCTCTTAAAACATGGCCCGCCCTAGCTAGACAAATGTATTGTAATGCACTAAACCGTACCCATTGCCTTTGATTATCATTTTTTAAAAGCGCCTTAAAAGTTGAGTGATTAACTTGAAAAACTAAATTAAGCCACATTTAATCTCAAGACAGTGTTTGCGTCGACCCATTACATTTTCCCTATTCTGTTTTTCCGGAGTTCATTTGATAGTGTTTTTGCAGATGGTATACCGTTTTTACAGATGGGCAGTATGAGTAACCATCTTCCAATCTGCTATTATGAGGATAGCTTATGGGGCAGATAAATGTCAAGGCCTTAGCCCTTAAGGTGTATATCTAAGGTACAAAGGAGGAACCTCTCCAACTCAATATTTCAGTCAAGTTTTTTAATCATGAATGTTTAATTCTCATTTTATTTAATACTTATTAACTGAACCAGACTCATGTACACCATTAAAGTTTAAAGAATATTCGCTTCCCATATGATTAGGCAAAGAAGAAAACAGTTAATAAGGCTATTAATTTTTATAAGGAAAGGCTGTTGAAAAACTTAAGTAAAATAGCAGACAAGCTATACACATGTACAATGGAATGTGGAAAATTATCTTACCCCAAGATGAAACACGCTCAGATTGCCAACAATCTCTCCAGCCAAAAAAAGCTTGTAAAAAGTACATACAAGATTAAATTAGTCTCTAAAAGGTGGAAAACTTAAAACAATACTAACAGAGGGTTTAATGAAAGCGCGTGTATCAGTTATGCCAAGTCATTATTACTTAATCATGTGACATTTGCTCATACAAGAATGAATTCTAACAAGAACACACATAAGTAATACAGTTGTAGAAGTATGCTATTTCAATTTTGATTTAGTTATAACATTATTCCGGTGGTGCTCACAAAAGCACATTTCTATAAACAATTAGGTTCTTTATCTCCAATCTCCAACAAATGGGTTCGTTTGCTTCTACTTTTCCTTCTAAACACAATGCAATGTTTTTATTTTGGAGAATCTGGCTTTTTGGTATTGTGAAAAGTTGGTTGACCATTTTATAGAATGTAAAAGGTTTATGCATTTTGCATTACAAACAATGTTTCCAATGGAACCGTGTTCTAAATTAATAGTTGGAGTGCTGGATGTTTTCCAACTCAGAGTGCCATAACATTGGAGTTCATAGAACCCTTTTCTCACAACTCTTTAACTATAAGCATGTAATATGAGCCATACCACACAAGTGTATAGGCTACAAGATTCTTTTTTCAGAATTAAGCTATGCATATCGTAAATATGTATGAATTTAGAGAATAATGTGAAGGACTACACTAAATGTGTAGAGAAGATGAAAAGAGCACACCTTGATTCT